CTGCCTTAAATAAAATTTAAAAAGTGAATAAAATGTGAAAAAATTTAACAAGGCACAATTAAACTCTCAGAAATCTTCACATGCACTAGACACCACTCAAAAAAACCTTCTGTTTAAACGGATAAAATAGACAAACCCTTAGTCAGAAAAAAGAAAATTCAAAAGGAATTAGAGATGAAAAGGAATCATTACAACTGATAACACAGAAACAGGGAGAATCATAAGGAACTACTACAAACCACAATAAGGAAGCAAACTAGAAAACTATAAAAATTGAGTATGATTCTGATTACATACAATCTATCAAGAAAATGTAGAAAATCTACATAACTGAATGGTAAGTATAAGACTGTATAAGTATAAGTATAAGTATATGTATAAGTATAAGTAATGAAAAATCCTAAAAAATAAAAGTCCAGAACAATTGAATTCCAAAAAAATTTAGAGAAAATAATGCCAATAGTTTTCTTTTTTTCTTAGCAGACTTTTATTTAACAAGAAAAAATTTCAAAAGTACAACTTTTGGATCATAGCAGTTCTTCCCCCCATAACCACCCTCCCAACCACAATCCATCCCATCTCCTACTCCCTCTCCCATCCCATTCTTCATCAAGATTCATTTTTAATTATCTTTACATACAGAAGATCAACTCTATACTGAGTAAAGATTTCAATAGTTTGCAACCACACACACACACACACAAAGTATAAAGTACTGTTTGAAGATTAGTTTTACCATTGTTTCTCATAATACAACACAATACTTTCCTAACTATTCCAGCAGATTGAAAAAAAGGAGGCTGCAAAACTATTTGAATGAAGTCAATATTACTGATAGCAAAATCAAACAAAAACACAGCACAAATTGAAAACTACAGGCCAATATTCTGGATGAATACAGACAGCAATGCATCTAACACTGCTTAAAATACCATGCATGAAGATCAAGGAGGAGGTATTCCAGGGATATAAATATGACTCAAAATTCACTAATCCTAGATTTAATAAAAATCACTAGAATAGAGAATGAAAATTATATGATCATCTAATAGATGCAAAAAAGGTTTTATAAAATTCAACCTCTCTGCATGATAAAATCTGTAAACAAGTTTGGTATTGAAGAAACACATCTCAAAATTACAAAGACTAGACAAGAAAAACTATCAGCAAATATTGTAGTGAAAGTGGAAAAGTTTAAATCCTTTACTCTCACATAGAGAAGCTGATAAGAATGCATACTTTGAACCATCTACTCAATATAGGACTAGAAGCACTAGCAAGATTAATTGGAGAGAGAAACCAATGAAGGATATTTGAACTAGAAAGGAGGAAGTGGAAATACCCATGTTTGCAGGTGACATGAAGTTTGTAGTCCTTAATATAAGATTAAAATAAAAAAAGAAAATCCAGAAATTAATCCACACACATACAGAAAACTGACTTTTGACAAAGGAACCCAGAAGATACACTGGAGAAAGGATATTCTTTTCAATAAGTGGTGCTGGCTAAAGTATGTACACATGTAAGAAAGGATGAAGTTAGATTCTACCTGTCACCATATACTAAAATCAAGTAAGATGTATGAGAGCTAAATGTAAGACCCAAAACACTGAAATTGCTAGAGAAAATCATAGGGAAAATAGTTAAAGACATTGGTAATGGCAATGATTTCTAGGATAATACATAAGAGTACATGCAACCAAAAAACTGGACAAATAGGACTGCATCAAACTCAGAAACTTCTTCATAGCAAAGGAGGCAATCTAAAAGTGACCAATACATTTTGATTTCTTTTTTAATTGATTCTGATTCTATTTTATTTTGGTTCTATTTACAAATATAGGTTCAATCATTCAACATGTTTGGGAATAAAATTTGATATGATGTCAGTTTCTGTGTCTGCATGTGTTGAAAGATTGCTTTTTATCACATTAAAGTGTACAATAGTTCATGTCTACAAACATTTTAAAAGCTTAGGCACTTTTTAAAAAAAACTCCTGGTAAATATTGATTCCGGGGCCCAATCTCTGATATCTAAAAATATCTATTAAAAAAGATTATCTATGATCACTCAACTCTCCATTTTTCCTGGTTGTTTAAAATACAGATAACACCAATGGGACAAATAATATATGAAACATTGAAGAGCATATCCTCATACACTATTATCCTATTAGGAACAACCAGAAAGAGGTTGATACCAAAAATTAAAACTAGATTTTAAGATATCATCAGAAAATACACTATACATTTAAATGAGCTACAACATGAATAAAATGTGAAAATATTTTGCCGTAAATGAAATTCAGTCACAGGGCCAGCATTGTGGCAAAATGGGTTGAACCTTTGCCTATGACACCAGCATCCCATGTCAGAGTGTCTGTTGATTCCTGGCTGCCCCACTTCAGGCCCAGCTTTCTACTAGTACAGCTGGGAAAGCAGTGAAGATGGCACAGGTAAGCATGCGTCAGCCACCCATGTGAGAGACAAGGATGGAATTTTAGGTCCTGGCTTTGGACTGGCCCAGCCATGGCCACTTGGGAAATGACCAGTGGATGAGAGATAATCTCTCATGCTCTCTGTCTTCTGTCTCTTTCTCTCCCTCTCTCTCTTTCCCTGTCTCTCATCACTCTCTTTATCTTTTACTCTGCATTTCAAATAAAAAAGATAAGAAAACAAATCTTTTTTTTTCTTTTTTTTTTGACAGGCAGAGTGGACAGTGAGAGAGAGAGAGACAGAGAGAAAGGTCTTCCTTTGCCGTTGGTTCACCCTCCAATGGCCGCCACGGCTGGCACGCTGCGGCCGGCGCACCGCGCTGATCCGATGATAGGAGCCAGGTGCTTACCCTGGTCTCCCATGGGGTGCAGGGCCCAAGCACTTGGGCCATCCTCCACTGCACTCCCAGGCCACAGCAGAGAGCTGGCCTGGAAGAGGGGCAACCAGGACAGAATCCGGCGCCCTGACTGGGACTAGAACCTGGTGTGCCGGCACCCCTAGGTGGAGGATTAACCTATTGAGCTGCAGCGCCGGCCTGAAAACAAATCTGTTTTAAAAACCTAGTTTTAAAAGATCAAAGAGAACATGAATCAGTTTACTTCAGTTTATATGATGTGTCTGTAATATGCAGATCCACAGAAATTCAGGTAGATTAGTGTTATCCATGGCTGGAAGGAGAAACAGAAGAATAGGGAGACATTGCAATGCAGTATGGGGATTCTAGGTAGAGAAACAGAAATCTGTGTTATTGTCAAATAACAACTACAGAAAGCTTAATGAAAGAGCATAACTCGTGACCCAAGAATTCTCCCAAGTTATCTCAACTAGAAAATGCAAACTTTAATAAATAAAAATATTCATTAGTATATCACTTACAGCCACAGAAACATAAGTGATATCCCAGATACTTGACACTGGGAATTCAAATATGGATTATGCACATAAAATGAAACCTGGTTGGTATAGAAAGAATAACATGATGCTCATCAGTTATAGGAAAACATATCCATAGCATACTCTTACATATGGAAGCCCTGTTGAGGGAGAATTGAGTCTGATCACACAGCAGGATTTACCCTGTTAGAGGCTTAGAAGATTCTAGAATGTGATAAGCACAGGCTGATAGGCTCATTTCTACACAAAATGAGGGTGACCTAATACGAAATTTGTGACAGACAGTAAGGCAATCATCCAGTGCTTATCCAAGGCAGACACTGATTTTCCCCACATAGAATACCTGAGATTAGAGATCCCTTGACCTTCAGATAATCACATCCTATCTCCATAACTCTGACAGACTGCAACCAATCAGTAGCTGCCACATATCCAGAAAATTCACAGGCATGATGTGTTTTCAATAAAATGCTCTATTTAACATATTGGTTGACAAACGAGAAATAGAGAAGAGGACTCAAAATGAAATAGCAAGAAGGGACAGATAACATGAAGCCACAGATTAGGAGAGACTGTCAGGTTGCAATTCTTCCCCCAAAAGCAGCATTCCCACAATCAGTTCCCTCCAGGACAAGGCAAGCCGCTAGTGACAAGTTCAAAATTCCATACAGAACTGACAAGGAAAGACTCATAGCATTTAAACAAAGGTATGCTACAACATGATCTCCGGAACATGTCAGCAGGTGGACACATTGAACACTCCAGGAAAATACTCCACCCTTGTGATCAACATGCAGAGACAGGTTCACTGCTGCTAACTCACTCATTAAGCATCAATGGAGTAACTCAATTACCAGAAATATAGGCCACACAGGTGTGGAAAACCCAGAATAAAAACAGCTTCATGATTTTTTTCCCAGAGAATTAAGCCATCAGAATCCAAAAGTAAACCATTAACAACTTAGTGGAAGATGATTTCCCTTGATTTTTTTTTCATTTACAGGATCAGCAGTTCAAATGCCTTCAATTTGGTAACAGTAAATTATGAATCAGAGAGCCGGCACTGTGGCATAGTGGATAAAGCCACAGCCTGCGGTGATGGCATCCCATATGGGTTCTATTTCCGATCCAGCTCTCTGCTCAGGCCTGGGAAAGCAGTAGAGGATGGCACAAGTCCTTGGGCCCCTGCACCTTCTGGAAGACCCCGAAGAAACTCCTGTCCCATCAAAAGTGACAAGAGAGTGAGCTCCTTATTCCAAACTGGAACTCAGGCAACATTCTCTGTTTCAGTACTTCTATGAGCCCATCACTGGGGGCTGGCAGTAGGAGGTCTGTGAACCCAGCAGTCTCACTCATTCCAGGAACCCCACATTTGGGCAACAAAGTCAGGACAAACACAAAGCTTCTCTCTTCTATAGCTGAAGGAGCAAGTGAAAATGGATGGTTTTGGGTGATGAAAGAACATAGAGTATTTCAGCTTCATCCTTCTGCTTGTCTGCATTCTGTACACACTTCTCAGAATTCTCAAGAGGTTTTGAAAATACACAGGCACAAGCACACTCTCACATGCAGTTTACACATATACCACATACACACTCCCTTGAACTTACCAAGATGCACCCACTTTATCCTCAGGCTTGAGTAAAAAAGATAACCGGATCATGTCTCTTTCCATTTCCATATAGTAAAGAGGGAAAAACACACCCAGCATAAAGTCGCCATCTCTGTGGACACTGGGCCACAAGTAAGTACGGCAGTGGCTGTCAGTCATGTCCTGTGAAGTGTGGAAAGCGTACAGGAGTAGGTGGAGGAAAATCAGAGACAGCAACATTTCAGTCTCTCCCTCTATCTAGACCCAAAGCTCTGAGTCTCCACTCAGAAGAGAAGAGCATGGGCCTGGATCAGATATAAAAGTTCATCACTTAGCAGGCAGAATTCATCTCTGCATAGGGACCAGGTGATTCTCAGAACTCCTGATATCCTCAACCTGTGCAAAATGTGTGCCAGGCTGGTGAGCTAGGCAAGAGCACAGCTAGAAGGAGAAGGGAGACATTTCTATAGAATATGCAGGGCTGAGACCTTGCTTTTAGTGCCCCTGTGATCTGAGCTGCTCTGGCTTGATGTCTTTATTGCTTCCCTTTCATCATATCCAGGACTCCAGACAAACCTGCCTGAGGCGCTGCACCTGTCATCCTCCATTAGGGGAGAAACACTTTGGAAAACATGTTTGTAACTCTCAGCCCCTCTGGCGTTGAGTATTTCATCATGATCTAACAAGCTCGTGGGGACCACAGTATCCTAGGATAGCACCTTTCTTGCACTGTTTACACAGGGACAAGAATTGTTGTGTCAGCACACAGGTTTGAGGAAGTTGGCACGGTTAGAAATAATTGGTATTGAATAAAACAAAACATGCAATGCTGCCATTCCACAAGATGCTTTATCAAGCAGATGAAAGGCCAGCATTATTCATAGATGACCCGATGTGCAAAGCAAAGTTTTTCATTGCTGTCTATTATCAGTCCCAGGACAGTCGTATTCTATGGGAAAATCATGCCTCATTATTCATAAATAAGTAGAATACATTCCAGAGAGGGCTGGATAGGTACCCTGCTACATACCCCACTACAGCCAACCACCCACCTCCTGAGTACATACTTCCAAACCGTCTAGGACCAGAGGTGAGCAGTCACCATCTTGACTCCTGTAGAAAGCATTTGGGGAGAACAATCCCCACCCCACTGGAGCCCATTGGTCAAAGGATCCAATGGAAGCCTCAGAGTCTGACCACATCACACATTTGCTCACAAGGTCTTTGGTGTTCCTGAAGGCATGGAAACAGAGAATGGGGCTGGTGCCACGGCTCACTTGGCTAATCCTCTCACACCTATCAATCTACACAGTGAATTCCCTGGCCTGTCAGAGTGAGTCTCTCTCCACTGAGCATGCTGTCACCACCAAGCTGTCAATCTATAGTTTCATTTGAACAACTGAAAGGAAACATATAATTTTCCAATCACTTATTTCCTATTGTCATATCTGTTTTCTCTTGATTTTCATATAAAACATCTCAAAAGGATCTCCTTATATGTATCCTTTCAATTTGAAATTGATAACTTTATATACATTTTGGTTATAGAAGAATCATCTGATATCTGTGCACATCAGTCCACATTGTGGACTAGTTCACAAATCAGTTTCACAAATGAAGTTATTCAATTTCACTCACATAAGCAAATCTCAAAATAGCCACAAAATTCTTAAAAACTATAACAGTATATAATATATATTAATTTTTGAAAAATATTTAAAGCAAAATGACAAAACACTATTTGCTGAAAAAATATTCACATTGGCAGTTCTTTTTAAAAATCAGTTATGCAATTGAAAGCCAGTTCCGAAGTGTTACATACCGCACTACAGCCAACCACCCACCTCCTGAGTACATACTTCCAAACCGTCTAGGACCAGAGGTGAGCAGTCACCATCTTGACTCTTGTAGAAAGCATTTGGGGAGAACAATCCTCACCCCATTTGGGGCCCATTTGTCAAAGGATCCGATGGAAGCCTCAGAGGCAGACCACATTACACATTTGCTCACAAGGTCTTTGGTGTTCCTGAAGGCATGGAAACAGAGAATGGGGCCGGGGCCACAGCTCACTTGGATAATCCTCTGCCTGGGACTCTGGCACCCCGGGTTCTAGTTATGGTCGGGGTGCCGGATTCTGTCCCGCTTGCTCATCTTCCAGTCCAGCTCTCTGCTGTGGCCAGGGAGTGCAGTGGAGGATGGCCCAGGTCCTTGGGCCCTGCACCTGCATGTAGACCAGGAGGAGGCACCTGGCTCCTGGCTTCGGATTGGCACAGCGCACCAGCCGTAGTGGCCATTTGGGGGGTGAACCAACGGAAGGAAGACCTTTCTCTCTGTCTCGCTCTCTCTCTCTCTCTCTCTCTCACTGCCTAACTCTGCCTGTCAAAAAAAAAAAAAATAGAGAGAGTGGATTGGAAGGTTTTTTTTTTTCTGAAATACTTATAGGAAACTTTCCTAATTTGGAAGAAGAGAGGGAATCTAAGTACAGGAAGCACATAGAACTCCTAATAGACATGACCAGAAGAGATCTTCAGGACAACACACTATAATCAAACTCCCCACAGTAAAACATAAAGAAAAGATTCTAAAATGTGTATAAGAGACATGCCAGGTTAATTTCAGAGGATCTCCAGTTAGACTCACAGCTGACTTCTCATCAGAAACCCACAAGCTAGGAGAGAATGGCCAGACATATTTCAGGACTTAAGAGAAAGAAACTATCAACCCAGAATACTGTGCCAGACAAACTTCTCATTTATGAATGAAAGCAAAATAAAGACCTTCCAAAACAAACAGAAGTTGAAAGAACCTGTCACCACTCATCCAGCCTTACAAAAGACACTTAAGGTTGTGCTTCACACAGACACACAGAAACATGGTCATCACTAAGAAAGAATGTGAAGGCAGAAAATCTCCTAGTAAAAGCACAAAGGAAATCCAAATAAACAATAGGAATATTAATGGGAAAATGACAGAATCGAGTCCTTACTTATCAATCGTAACCTTGAATACAAATGGCCTCAACTCTCCAGTTAAAACGTACAGACTTACTGGATGGATTAAAAAAAAAAAATATCTATTTGCTGCCTGCAAGAAACACATCTTACCAACAAAGGCACACTCTGAAAGTGAAAGGATGGAAAAGGATATTCCATGATAACAGAAACCAGAAAAAGAACTGGGGTAGCCATCCTAATATCAGACAAAATAAACTGTAACACAAGAACTGTTAAAAAAGATAAAGAAGGGATATGAATTGGGATGGAGGAAGTCAAACTATCCCTATGTGCAGATGACTTGATTATATATATATATATATATATGATCGAAAAGGTCCCATTTAAAGACTATTGGAACTCATAAAAGAATTTGGTAAAATGGCAGGATATAAAACCAACACAGAAACATCAATGTATACACAGACAATGCCACAGCTGAGAAAGAACTTCTAAGATAAATGCCATTCACAATAGTTACAAAAAAATCAAATACCTGTAATAAATTTAACCAAGGTTGTCAAAAGTCGCTATGATGAGAATTACAAAACATTACAAAAAAATAGGAGAAGACTCAAAAATGGAAGAAACCTCCATGTTAATGGATTGGAAGAATCAATATCATCAAAATGTCCATCCTACTGAAAGAAATTTACAGATTCAATGAGATACCAATCAAAATACCAAGGACATTCTTTTCAGATATAGAAAAAAGGATGCTGAAGTTCATATGCGTACACAGGAGACCCTTCATAGCTAAAGCAAAATTATACAACAAAAATAAAGCTGGAGACATCACAATTCCAGACTTCAAAATATACTAGAGGGCAGTTATAATCAAAACAGCCTGGTACTGGTACAAAAACAGATGGATAGGTCAATAGAACAGGATAGAAATGCCAGAACTCAATCCATACATCTACAATCAAGGTATCTTTGACCAAGGAGCTAAAATCAATCCTTGGTGCAATGACAATCTCTTCAACAAATGGTGCTGGGAAAACTGGATTTCCACATGCAAAAGTATGCAGCAAGGCCCTCTACCTTACACCTTACACAAAAATCTACTCAAATGGATTAAAGACCTAAATCTACATCCTGATACCATTGAATTATTAGAGAACACTGGGGAAACCCTGTAAGAATTATCATTCCAAAGAGTTCTTGGAAAAGCCCCCAGAGGCACAGGATATCAAAGCCAAAACTGATAATGAGATCATATCAAATTGAGAAGCATATAAAGAGTTAACTGTACTCCCATGTATATTGCAGCTCAATTCAGAATAGCTAAGATAAGGAATCCACCCAGATGTCTGTCAACTGAAAATCAGGTAAAAAAAATTATGGTGTAGTAGTGTATACTACTGTGTAGTATTCAGGCTATGTCTACAGTATAATATTGTGTAGTATCCAGGCTACGTCCAACTGACAACATCTAATTTTCCATACTCAAATCCTCTAAGCCTAAACAACATATGATGCAATCTCAGATACATGAATGTCTCCTGTATGCCTAGAGTGATCTAGACCTCACACAGGGCAAACTATAGCCAAAGAAATTTTTAAAAGTTCACAGGACAAATGGAATTAAAAAGTAAGCTAATTTTGGTACAATTTTTAAAAATCAGTACCTAGTTTTTTTAATGGAATTTTTGAAGACTTCCTCATGCACCCTAGTCCCTACTATTGATAACATATAGATGGCTATGCTCTTCCTGAATACATGTTCTACTTTCTCACTTGATTTCACCGACACAGAAAAGCTGTAGGGAATAAAAGGAGTACCATTAGGAAGTCTGGCCTCAAGATATCAGTAGTCGCTGGATTCCACACTCCCCTTACTCCTCACAACTAAGTTCAGCTAAGGCAAGGAAAAAAGAGTAGCTCTTGTTATTCTGTTCCTAAACCTCAGTCCTAAAACATTGAAGTACAGAAGAGAAAAGCAAAAATCCACCTCAACTGCAGTTGGAGGAAGCAGAAGGGAGCTTGGAAGAGAGTATCAGAGACCACACTGGAAGTGGAAGCCACGCAGAGGTAAAACAGTGTGAGGGAGCATGTCAGAGTCATGTGAGGGTGTGCAGTACATACATGTGAGAAATCTCAGTGTGAGGAGTCATGGGAAAGCTTAAAGAGGCACTCAGGAAGGGTTGAGGCCAGTGGTAACAACAGAAGATTAGTTACATAGAG